TCCCTGGCAGCTGCTAATGTGCAGGGCGCACAGCAAGCCTGGGTCAGGGCAGCTCCCCCGGGGCCCCCGCGGCACCCCGGCAGGGCAGCCTGGAGGGAGGAGGGGTGCTTGGTGTCTGATCGTTCAGTCTCGGCAACACTAAACGTGCAGCTCATGGTTCAAAGCTCTGGAAAAAAAAAGCCAGGGGTGCAATGAGGTGGAGCTGCCTGCTGCAAGGGGCTGCGTTTGGCTTTGTATTGCTGCAACTGATGCTCATTTTAGAAATGAAGTGTTGCAGGCTGTGGGTGGGATCCTGCAAACAATTGCCCACTAACAGGTAATTACACTCAAAGGCAACAGGACGCCCCTCCATCAGAGCAGCTATGTGCGTAGGAGTGACTGCCCACGGGTTGATGGCCACTTCATGCCAGAGTGAATCCATTCAGCTTTGAAATTCAGCTGTGGCCATGGCCAAACATCATAGCTGCTCACGTTACCCCAAAGGGTTAGGATAGAGCAGAAGAACAGTGCAGCTGCTTGGTGGTAAATATAACAGCTCTGGTGGGATTTTGCATTTGAATGGGACTCTTGCTTTTGAAATTATTGTATATCTTTCAGTATATACGGTACATCCCATTAATAATGCTACAGCAGCAAGCACCATAACTCGCTTCTTTATAACAAGATACTCTTCACTGCGTTATATCTGAGAGCGATGTTGACAAGCAAGTTATCTCTATTGGCCACAACTTTCCAGCCGTGCTCCTGTAACCCACATCTGTTCTCCATGCAGCCATAACAGCTGTCATGCTGGTCTTTCACGCTTCTGTTTCTGACAGCTTCTTTCACAATGAAAGTTCAAAGACTGTATTTACCTGTTTCACTAAATAGCCTTGCTTCACAATTGTGCCACTTAATTCACTGATGTTAAACTGCAGGTCTTCCTTGGAACTGATCTGTTTCTTATAGCTCTCAGCCTGCAAATGGGGAAAAGATAGTTAAACTTTTTAAAAACCTAAACATACTTCTAAGTACAAAGGTCTACTCTATTTTATCTTCCTTGGAGCTGTTTTTAGCTCTTTTTTTTTCCTGAATGAATACTACTCTTTACAAGCAATGAATTACAGCTGTAAAATCTGCATATGCACTGTGGCCTTGACTTTTAGCAGAACTATAGCATGGTCCCCACTAAATGCAGACACTGAGTGCTGAGGGCTGCACCCCTTTTAATACCTCATCACCCAATCTGTAGATCCCTCCATATCCACGTAGTTATTTTTTTCCAGTAAACGTACAAGCCTTCATACTATTAAAAGTCCAGAGCTTCTCCTTTCATGTTTTTTTTTTTCACTGCCTGCATGCTTTGCCTTTTGGTGCATGCTGTGAGTGTCCCCTTCACCACTGCCCAAAATCAAGCGTGTGACAAAGGGCAGAGGAGATGCCTCCGTTGGCAGCTGCATCACTTACAAACATGTACAGCGCGGTGGAGTCGTCGAGGAACTGCTCCGACAGGTCACTGTAGCGTGTGGCCTCGATGCTGCGGGCTCCCACGGGCTTGGTGAAGTTCTCTTGCATCAGCATGGAGGCCAAGGTGACGGCCTCGAACCGTGACACAGCAAAGCTGTTGGAGATCAGCCAGTCCACCAGCGCAGAACCTGCAGGGAGAAGGCAGCTCTCAGACCAAGAAAAAGTGCTCTTCCATGGCGAGGCAAATGGTCTCCTAGCACACAGGCCTTCTTTTGCTGAAACATTTTGGCACCATAGAAAAGATTGTCAATGATGTACAAGTTTGACCAAAAGTGTGGGGGCCCTATGTGCGCTTGCATATAGCCATAGAGCAAGAGGGAACGGTGCTGGAGAGCTTGGCTGCACCAGTATTCTCCGCTGTGCCACAATCAGTCGCACCGTGAAGACAGTACGATAGCTCCCTTTTCACTGCAACATGTCACACTGGACGCAAGGAAGCTCTTGTCTGCAGCACATGTACCTGTAAAGGTCTCTCTGTATCTGTTGCCTTGCTCCACGTTGGGGGTCAGCTTAATCCCAGTGCTGCTGTCATGCATTTTGTCCACTATGTGGCTGTAAAAGAGTACGGAGGACAGTGTTACACAAAGGGAAAGACAGGTAGAGACTGTCACGTACTTCTGTCAGTGCCTGGGCTGTCCTAATGATTACTGACATAAAGCCAGGAAACAGCCTCGGCACTCTCCTAAAGTTTCCTCCTAAGTACGGCATAGGAAAACTTTTTTCTCCCAGTGCACAGCACTGAACAAGATGCCTCACTGAGCACGTCTCATTTCAAAGCACTTCGCCTGAGCTAGAGTCAGCTTCCATGTATCTTCTCAACACAAATTAAATTCACATTATTTTTCTTAATCAGTTCTCAGTTTCCTCTTGTGTAGCGTGACGTGTCCTAAAAATCCTTGCCTGGATTTTGGCTCTCAGCTTTGAAAGCTCACCAGCACAGCATTAACAAAGTCATCCGTGAGGCCCTCCCTGACATTACACCTTCCGAGGAGAGGACGTACCGCCCCAACGCAACGCTTCTCGAGCAGGACTAGGAAGGCCTCAGGCCAGCAGTGAGGAGCCTGCGCAGAACCCGCGTACCCGCAACGAAACGATGGTCAGGAAAAACTGGGTTCCCCGACCTGGGCAAAACCCAGGACAGAGCAGCCCTCCCGGCTGTGGGGGAGCGGGTCTGGGCGGAGGGAGCTTCCCTCGACCCTCCCCATCGCCCCGCTTGGGCGCTTTGCAGCCTACAGCAACAGCAGAAGGCGAAAGCGTTTGCACTTACTGGAGACTAATATTCGCAAGCAGTTTGAACGAGTTCTTCATTCTGTGAAGCTCCTGTACCTGCACGGGGTGGCCAGCATGAATAGCTCCGGTAATGTCCAAAGCCCAGGAGTCTCGCTCCTCTCTGGAGCAACATTCAAGGAAATAGTCTGTGTTGGTTTTTGTCTTCAGTTTAATGAGTAGCTGTGGAGACAGAAGTGCAAAGCAATAACAACGTTTAGCTAATATCCGCCACTCACATTTTGCTTCTTTTAGCCCCAGTCAAGGGAGAACAAGTGAGGGGAGGGGAAGCCATCCCACCTGGGCAGTACCAACCAGTACTTGGCCTCAGGGTAGCTCTGCTTTTTTTCTTCTTATCCCTGTTTTTTTAGTTCCAAGTGCAGTTTGCAGGCATGGCGCCAGCGGTACTTAAGAGAGCAGGCTGCCCAGACCCTGGGTTGCATAGGATTCTGCTACTGACAATGGAGTTTTTCGCTTTCAGATCTTCTCTAGCTTCTCAACAGCTAAAAACTCTCACTAGGCTCATTTTGCTAAAAGAAGTCCTGAAATAGTCAGCAATTGACAGAGTCATTTCCTCGCTGGCCCCATTGAGGGGAAGTCCACGTTGCTGCTGCCAGCCGGTGACCACAGCAGCGTAGGGGGCACTTTCCCCTGCAGAGCCCTCGCGCGGGAAACTTTCCACAGCAGCAAAGTCCCACTGGAGAAGGAAAAAGGTGTCGGACCCAGCTGCCAGCCTGGGAGCACTCAGAGGCTACGCCCGGGGTTTCGGGACAACCACCAGGGAAGACAAGGTAGTAACTCCTCTCCCTCTCTCTTCCCACTCTCCTCAGGGCTTTACTGAGCTCTTCATGCCCTCCCTCCACACACTGCTGGGCTGATGCACTTTTGTTTAGTCTTCCCTCTGTGTGCGTATTTTCTCGTTATTTTGTTAACGGCCACGCCTCTGGTTTGAGCACAGAGAGCAGCAAAGACACAATGTGAGGATTCATGGCTAGTCCTGGTTACATTGCTCATGCAGCTCACTTTTAGCTGGGCCCAACTCTGGAAAAACGTACCCCACCGACCCGGTCACAGAAATCAAAGAAGGCAGGAGAAGAGGAAAAGACTAGGGAGAAATTAGAGAGAGGGTGTCATTGAGAAAGGATATCTTTCTCCAGGCATACCGGTCTGTTCTCGTATTCCAGGCATGGACAAGTAATAGTGCAGCCATCCAAAAGGATCCTGCCCTTTGGAGAAGGCTCCTTCTTGCCTCCTTCAAGTTTATAATACAGCAGCTTATCCTGAAGCAGAACAAACCATCGCACCTTCCAGTTATGAACAATATGTCCCTAGAGGGGAAGAAATCCACATAGCTGCTTTTAACACAGGCATTAGAGAAATGACTGTATTTTCTTTTTCATGACAATGCCACAGACTAATAGGAAACGGCATGAAAAAGATCATAAGGAGTCATTGTGGTCCCCTTCTCTCTGAAATACACATTTTCAATGAGAAATCAGCACAGTCCCGTCAGTATAAAACCATGCAGCAGGAACAGAAAGACGCTGTGCTCTTTATCCAGCAGGACATCATCTTTGCTGGCAGGAAGTTCTTCTTGCAAAAGCTGTCATTTAGGTGTGCAGCTACCAGGCAGCAGCACCAGGCGGGAACAGGGCAAACCTTGAAATCCGTGAGAGCGCCAGCATGCTCAGCAGCTCCTGGAGGCAAACTTCCTGCCTCTGTGGATCCTGGATGGCGTTCGACCTGTTCACATGAGTTTCATTCTCTGTCGTTTTGTCGTGGCTGTAGATACCAAGTGGTCTTGAGAGCGCTTTGTTGCTTGGCTTGGCTTTTTCTCTCATCCCCTCATAGTGCTAATTAGGGGGTTGTTTCCATCAAACCTGGCTCCAGCCTCCTGGGATAAAAAATTCCCTGTGCTACTGTTTTCTGTCTGTAGTGGAGATGATACTCTCTTTAATGGCAAAAGACTAAAGGAAAGCTGTGAACAGTCAAATGCCTCCTGGCTTATACCAGAATACAAACAACCCCCCTTTTCCCCCCTCTGTAAATAATGACAGCCTCCAGCTGCTTTTAGCCCGGCTGTATGGGAGAACATGCTGAGCGAGGGCTGGCACCAACAGGCCCCGTCCTGTCTTATGCCGTCAGGTCCAGCTTTGCGGTGCGGTGGAGCTGACTTACACTTCTACAGATGACAGAGTATTACAGTCAGCAAGCGAAGCACTCGGCGCGGGCAGCTTTGACAGCTGGAAGAGGGTGGGGACAGCTAGAAGAAAGGGACATGTAAGGTCCAGTTGTGGCAGGAATCAAAGCTCATTAATTCTCTGTGAGTAAAGGGGAAAAACAGCAATTAGCAAGAAAAGGTGGGATAATTAGATTCTATTAAATCCAGGTCACTTCAAATCTAATGTCTTCTAGTCTACACTAAATGCAATTTATCTGGCCTGGTTTTATGCTCTTCTTCCCGTCATCTTCCTCACTGTCTTTTTCACCTGCTGTGACTGCCCTTGGCCATTTTCCCTCTGAGTACGCTCTTTGTTATGGCTTTTTTCTTTTGGGAGCTTTCTTCTGTTTCAGGAGGTGGCAGCTGATCTTTTTCTGTCTCTTGCACAGTTTACTGCATACTTACAATACATGCAGTTATTTATAACACATTTAGATGTTCTCCCTGCTTCTGCTCTCTGCCGCTTAACAAATCTCCGTGTCCTTTTATCCGATCACATCCCATCCTCACTGTTTTCTCTGGATGCCTTGTTTCCTTCTCCCTCAGTTCCCTTTCTCCACCTTCTTTTCAGCTTCCTTCCTATTAAACTGTATTTCTTGGGGATATTGTGCAGCCTCCTGGCAGCTACAGTTCAGCGTGTGGATGCCCTGTTCCTCTGACGGACATAGTGTCTTGACTTCCCTTATTCAATTCGGTAGTCATGCTACAGCCCCCAAATCCTGCTGCCTTTCCTCCCGGCGCTGGCAGCCTGGCGAGAGAGCCCGAGCTGGGGCTGCTTTGCTCGCTGGAGGAAGGGGACATAGTGATCAGCTCTGGGCACGGCCGTTCTCAGCGCAGAGCGCGGCTCCACGTGGCCCTCAGCCGTGCACGAATGGCCACCTGGGAGCCCTGCCAGGAGAGCGCCTCACAAGCATTACCTTCATGTTAGCACCAGAAACATTGCCACGTACTGTCAAAAAGCATTTCCCAAGGCGTGGTAAAGCTCTGAACAAACCTTTCAGTAACATCTTTTGAGTGCAATTAAAGACCATGATGTTAGTCACTGATATTAAAAGACAGAGCCTTGGCACTAAATGCAATTTATACCCCCAATTAAGTTGCCCTCTTGAGTCCCCAGCTATGATCCGTCCCTACAGGGATAAGTGGTGGGAAAGGCTGAAATCTGTGATGCTGTCTTTTAGTTGTTTTCTCCATGGTTTAGCTGAAATTTTCTTACAGATGTGCTTGAGGGGTGTGGAAGAAAGAAGTTACTGAAAATACATTTCTACATTCAGTATTGCTCTGACTCCCTCCAAAAAGGGCACTGTATTCCCCAACCCCTGATAGGAACTGAGAAACCCTGCTCAGCTGGCTCCCCTAAGCAAGGCACAACGTATCTCAAGAGACTGTCAGAACATCTTCCATCCTCCCATGGCCACTTCCACCGGTGCCACATAGCCTCTTGCCAGGTATTTTTCATGTGCTCTTTGCAGAGGTGTGTCCCAGCGTGCACACATATTGGCTTTCTGATAACTAACTAACTAATTCTGATAGCTATTCCACTTTTCGCCAGGTAAACACTGAAACAGGGAAATCAGCAGGGGGGTGGTCGGCACCTGACACTCCTGCAGCTCAGCCCCAGCGTCCCCCAGGGACCGCTCAGAGCCTCGCGACCGCCAAGGTTTTCTTACCAAAGGGCAGGCAGGAGCCTCCCAAAGCCCGCGCTCAGCGTGCCGCCTTGCCCCAAGCCCTGGCTCCGTCAGCTCCCCAGCTCGCGCACGGCAGCTGCTTCCATTCGGCAGCAGAATCGCAGGAACGAAACAACGCAATGTGGCTTTTCTTGCTTGAAGAGCACTTACCCTTTTCACGAGGAAGCCCTCCTTCAGCACCCCACCGGCTTCCTGCATCATGGCCAGCCTGGACGGGAGCTGAGCGCCTGCCAAGAAGTGCCCGAGCCCTTGCAGCCTGTCCCTCTGCACACAAGCAGTTTAAAAAAGCTCATTTTTCTCTACTACCCTCCTCCTCAGCTGTGACGTAGCCTCCCTTCCCTGCTTTTTTCTCCCTTTCCTCCTACTTCTGAGACATTAGTTAAACATTGAACTGGCTCTGATGCAGCACCTGCCCTCTGGGAAGTAAACCAAGGGAAGTTTAGAAAGGATTTCAAAAGAATTACACAGAGTTTAGTACAGTAAAAAAGCACCGCTGGGTGAGTAAGCCAATATAAGAAGCAGCCACGTGATGACAAATCAGATCAGACGGACATATCGCGTGGGAGGGGGAAGCAGAATTATAAAACTGCATCTGTCAAAACTTCAGGCAGTTCAGCATAAAATTGCTCCTCATACCCCATAAACAGCTTTCATGGGGTACGACAGAGCAGAACACTGACAGTGTAGAGTATAGAACAGAATGATTAAACGGAGAATTTTACAAGCCTTAAAATACGTTTTACCTAAAAAGCCCAAAAGCACCCAAAGCCCGCTCTACTTTCAGTGACCCTGGAGATACAAGCCAAGACTCTCAAATATGCCTACTCAAGCTTAGGAACCTAAATCCATACAAAAGCAACTGTTAATGCTTTTACAAAAAATTTCATCACTGAACACCCTCTCGTGATTTCTTGAAACTACTGAGCTCCTCTGAAACCCAGGGTGCCTTTTTTGTGCCCGAGACTATGAGCTTAGAAGCCTAATTGCAGTCTTTTTGGAAACTTTAGCCCCAAGAAATCTGTGTGATCAGGTCTTGATGAAATAAGGCAGTGACAGCCAACAGCACTTCAGTCAGAGCTGCTGCTCAGAAGTCATAGCCTTGCCTGTACCGTTTCCTGACCTGCACCAAGAGTAAGGCGGCATTTGTGGCTAGAGCTAAAGACTGCGGTAAGAAACACGATGCAGAGCGTAACTAATAAACAAGAGCGCTCGTTGCTATGCAAAGAGTCCAGAGTCCTTCAATGAGACAAGTTGACTCAAGCATCTCTCCTCAGTCTTTGTACGCTGGATCAAATTACTGGTCACCCTTTCATGTGCTGAGGAAAAGGAACAAACAAATCATTACCTTATCTTTGCATTATTTTCCTGACTTGTAATGGGGAGGGAGAAAGAGAAAGGCACTGAAGAAGATATTCAAAACGCAACGTGCTGGAGACTACGCAGAGAAGAATCCTGCGTAGATTGTGAGAAATACAGTGGGTGACCAAACACCGTTTGTGCTTTGAAGTTAGAAAAACCACTTGCTGTATAAACGGAAAGCACATTGGTTGAGATTTCCAAAGCAGCCATCCCATGCTGAAGTTAAGGGTGTAGCTGCTGCTGAGCTGCCGCGGCCGCTCCCTCGAGAAAAGGCAGGCAGCCACACGACAACCACCTGCATAAATCACAGCAGGTATGTTTCCTCTTCCAGCCATCTAAACTGAGTACAGTAAGTTTAACAGAGCCTCTGAATAAGTTGTTTTAATATTTTGTTGCTGTAGGTATGTGAGTATTTTCAGAGATATCAAAGGAAATTTTTGTAACAAAAAAAGATTTATATGACCGTGACCTTAAAATAAAGAACTAAACTGAGTGTATTTTTTTAATTAAAAGAATAATCTCTCTGTGTATATGCATAAAAATATGTGTAAATCAAAGCATGCACTCAGAAGCAGCATCTTGGGGAAAAAGTGATGCGGTCAGTAGAAAACGAAAATAAAGTAATTGCAGCTCACTAAGCGTTCTGTACATCAGAATTAAACTTAGCCCTGTACATACCAGCACTGCCCCACCAATGTTAAACTTTAGGGAAGAACTAATAATATTTGAAATAGTCACAAGAGCAGGTACACCAGGACGTTAGCAGTGCTGCATCAGGGCACACAAGAAGTGATCACTGTGCTTGTTTCCTAGCCGGGAACTCTTTATGTGACCGCCTGCAAGAGCACAGTGCTCCACCGTACGGCATTTGAGGTTTGACTTCACATTGTTCAACTTGCTACTGCAGGCAATTCATAACCAGGTGGGTAGCATAACTTCATGCTAGTGAAGGCAGGCAGAAGCTTGCAGGGGCTCTCGCTCACACGGTGATCTCAGAATTACACAATAACCAGGCCTTGCTGAAGACCTGAGTGAGCTCTTTTTTCCAGGACGCAAACCGCTCACAATTCTACAGGTGTGCCTTGGCAAAGCCACCACTAGCAATGAAGAATTTCATTGTCAAACTGCTGGTGAATGGTGAAGCAAAAGTTGCCTTAGATATTTATTAAAGAAATGGGCCGGGAATATGATTGCTTTTGTATTGACTACTTTTTATAATCTAGAACCTTCACTCATTTTTCCAGTGCTTTGGATAGGTATAGCATGCCCACACAGGCGCACGCACGCACGCACGCACACACACACAATCCCCTTGCCTTTCTCATTCTGCAGAGGTTATTCAAGGCTAACAAACTGCCTATATGTATATTGCCCCTGCACACACAGATCTCACTCAGACGGCAGATGTGGGAAAAGGGTCATTGCAAAGCGAGTCAGCAGATGTGGGCTGTCGGACGAGCGCGTGTGCTGGGAAGGCAAGTCCTGGCATTGAGGCCTCTCCATTGAAAAGTGATGTGTTTCCAAACACAAATCTAAGGAGGTCTAGAAAATGCAATGAAGTCTTCCATGGGATACGAAAAAACACTGAAAGGAGGACCGTCTGCTTCCTCAGATCCATTTTAAAGTGGCATTTTCCACATGTCGGTATGGCATTTTAACGAAAATACCACAGCTGAGTGCTTAACTTATTTTTTTGCCTTCCATTCAAAGTAACCTCAAAATTACTTTGTAGGAAGAGTACAGAATTTGCATCAGGATGGCCAGGAGTAGCTGGCTGTAGACTTCAGGACCACAGATTATCATTCAGGATTAAAGAGAAGGCAGGCAATAGCCTGCGCTGTGCAAGCACGGCACTGTTTCAGCTAGCTGACTTGACAGACGCTACTAGTACCTTCCAGTTTAGTCCCTCAAGAAGCCAAGAATAGCTGATTAAAAGAACCTGTCCATAAAACAGCTCTGATTGCATGCTCTACAACGCCCATCCCTACAATCATACACATCCTGCATCACATGCAGGATTATGTATGTCCAGCTTTTTCAAACCAGATGCTTACAATATTACGACTTTGCCCTCCAGTGTAGGGCACCATTAAATATTTAGTTCCTCTAGCAGACTGGGGATGAAATCAGATGATAATAAATCACATCAAAATAAAAATGATGAAACATTTCTAGATAAAAGTGAAAGACAGTAAGTGTTCAAGAGCGCTCTATGATGTAAAAGCATTTTTAAGATTAACTATAGAACAGTGGCAGTGTTTGAAAATAGTTGTTTGTCTATCTAGACTCTGAAACAAAAATCTGACAGAAACTGAAAATCCAAAGTGCAGATTCTGGTATGGAGAACAACATGCTAGTTCCACTGCATCTACAAAACAAGTGCCAGAATCAGCAGGGGATTTTCACTCCATTAAAAGTCAAGCAAAACAACTCGAAAAGGCAGGGCACACACGCTCTTTCTTCAGTGGTCACTGTTGGCCCTAATGAGAAACAGAACACTGGACTGTGTGTTTGATCTGATCCAGTAGCTCCGTTTTTCTGTATGACGCCTTAACAGATGTTATAAGTAAAACTGTTTTCAAGTTGCCAATCTTATGAAATTAATTTGGGATATTAAAGTCAGGCTAGGATCCTTACGATTAATGCATTACGATGCACGATTAATGTGTTCTGTCCACAGTTAGACTTGACATTTTCCCTTCAGTTGACAACAGGAGCGTAAGTGGAGCTTTTGGCCTTGC